TTTGAGAGCTCTAAGTATTCCTTTGCTATGATCTAGCCTCCTTGTGTGTTAAGAGACATTGACAAGTCTTCTAGGTTGTTTTAATTGATCATTCTTCATCAATAAGTGAGTGTTTAGGAGTGAACCACCCACTCATCACTATTAAATCTCAGATTCATATAAGTATTCATTGGCTTCCATTGAGAAATTCATTGGAGGATTCAAAGGGCGAAGGTTGATCCAGGTTTTGATTGAAGAGCAAGCTGTGGAATTAGATCCTGGCTGACGTATTAAGGATTCAGTGCGGTGAACTATAGACGTCGATGATTAAGGATTTGGTTATGAAAGCTCAAGACAAGAGTTAAGCTTCAATTCTGAGCATTGAAGGATTGTCTATAAGCATTGTGAGCCTTGTATTGAGTCAACAGTGGAGTTTTAGGTTAGACTAGGCCCTCTGCTTTTTTCCTTTTCAGGTTTCCACATAGTGCTTTGTTTGTTGTGTGACTGAATTGCTTGATTATATCAAACATAAAAAGTTAAGGATATAATTGTTGTAGTGGACTCTGAGCTGTTGGACAACCTATTGTCTATTGTCTGTGATTGATCATTGATTCCTATTGACTTGGCTGGTTGAACATTTGTCTACTACCTTGATTAATGCTTAAATTGAGTTGAGCATGAATTGCTCTTGAATTGGAGATAATTCCTTGACATCCTTGAAAAAACATATTCACTCCCCTCTCGGGATTTGTGTTCATGAACTAGGTTGTCATCGATCTTAGAGTAGACAAGTGTGTACTGTACGTGTTTGTGCGCATGTTAGGTGTGTATTTTTGTGATGTGTTGTGAATACAAGAATAAGTGTGTGTAACATGTAAATAGAAGCAAAAATGGGAAAAGGAAAGGAGGAAAATAAGAGAATATCGTGGGGATAAATAAGAGGAAATCCACAATGTTTGAATTGAAAATCAAAGGGTGATATCGGTTCTCAATATAATGAAATCAAAGCATGTTTTTTGACCCTTGAGCTTCATGTTTACTGGTGTTGATTGAAATTAAGTGGTGGTTCACAGTATGCTCCGTCCTAAATATCTTTGCAAAGGGTTTCCCTGCAATATTCATGGGTAACTTATTTAAGTATGGGCAGTGAATACTTCGAAATCCTATGAAACTCTATTGACTATATTCTGATGACTTCTCACCTACATACTTTGGGACACACTGGTACATTTCTGTAGTGCATCAAGTACATGGTTGGGGCTATCTCTTCTGTTAGGAACTCACAAAATGGTATTAGAGTAGTAAGTTATTGGTTCTGTACATTGTCTCCAGTATGACGCTTTTTTGATTAGAACAAAAAGAATGATGGAAACTAAAAGTAGTACAAAGTAAAGTGAATGAAAGAAAACTTTATTTTTTTATTTATATTTTGGAAAGCAAGAAAACACTTATTTATACCTAAATTACCCATACCAGTTTTGAACAAAATACAATGCTTATCTTCCATAAAAGTAGATCATTGTAAAGCCTACAAACTATATTGCTCTATAGGAAAACAAAATCATGTAAAATCCAACGTCCCAAAATTTGGATAATAAATGATATAGATTTCTGTATGGACATAGCTGATATAACGAACATTGGAGGGAAAAGGGGGTAAATCAGGAATTTAGATTAAACATACCTCCTTTCATGAGAAATCTTCAATTTCCCTCTGTCGAAAAAATAGGTTACTTTCAGAAAATCCATCGAACCTCTACAAAACCCAAAATATTCTCTTTTTACCATTTTCCACCACTTTTCATCTGACCAAACAAACCCTGCAGATGACGACCAGTTGATCATTGTGGGTCATATAGGAAGGTAGAGAAATACCAAAAAAAAAATTGATCGAAGGGCACAGCAAAAGTGCTTGGCTTACTGACTGAGAAAGTTCAGGGGTGTAATAAATTAAAGGAGGGGAATAAGTTCCACCAACGTAAAATAAGTGCTTCTCTGTTTCTTCTTCTCCTTCATCCAGAATCTAAGATTGGACAAGAAAGTGGTCAGAACACCCCCTCTGGAGCATGTTCTCAGAAATTCATAATAAAGTTCAACCACAACAACTGAATTTACTCTATCCACAAGTAAAGGTACTAGTCATAGTTTCACCAAAGTAAATTAAGTTGTTCTCCGTTTCTTCTTCTCCCTCTTCCATAACTTAAGCTCAGAAAAGACAGCGAGAAGAGGTCCCTAATCCCTATAGATAATATGGTCAGAAATTCATAATAAAGTCTGACCACAACCACCAAATTTACTATCTCCACACGAACAAGTACTAGATTTTCTTTATGAAGAATAATTTCTCTAAGGCCGAGCCTCATTGGACCAACACCTACAGAGTAAGCCCCAAATACATGCAATCTCCTGCTAACAACAAACATCGGAAACCCAGAGTCACTAACGAGAATCGAATCCAAGATGTCCAAATTTATGATTTATCCCAAACTAACCCCACACCACTGTGTTAACCAAGTAGGTTAGTATAGTTACTAGATTCAGGAGGCATGCCCAAAGGGCAGCGAAGCAGTGTGGTTTCAGGTGTCGTCGCTCTAGTCAAAAAGTTTTAAAAGCATTCACAACTCCCTTTTTGTTTTCTATTTCAATTTCTAGATTATCATAGAAACTCAAAAGGTTTTTCTGTGTGACAAAAGAACAAGTAATAGAACGCTGGAATGATTTGAATTGACTTGACTCGGAAAATTGGACCATTCCATAGCCAAAAAATTCATAAATTATAGTTGGGCTAATCAATATAAAATGCACTTTCCTCTTGGAAGTATGTATACAGACACAAGATGATACAAAACCGATACGATACGACAACCTAAAAATAGGATATATAGATATGGTCAAGACAAATCTACAGTAAAATACTCATTATTTGTCACTATTATCTGATCATTTTCATAATTGTAATTTCAAACACATTAGTTAATTGCAATTTTCCAAAAAAAAAAAAAAAAAAATGATTACTTTCAAAAAAGCATAGGTCATCTTATCAAATGAAGCAGAACCAGCATTTGACTATCAGGTTTGCTCAGAAATACTTGTTGCAAAAAGGTAGGGTCTCATTTTATGTTATTTTGACGTGTTAGTACTTAGTTATAAAATAAAGAATCATTTAAGTGTCTTCAAAATCATAAGGACTTTTTTTTTGTGTATCATTGCATGTGAATTAAAGAGAAATGAGGAAAGGTTAAAGATAAAATTAAAAATTGCACATATTCCTCCTCTTATCCACGTCCATGTCCATGTTTGAAGCATATTCGTCTAGGATACCCATATTAGAGACTTATCCACAAATAAAATTTTATTAATTATTTGATACATATGGTGCGTATCCAATATTTATTCTCTAGTATCCGACGTGTATAGTATACAGTTTGTACCCTATGTGAATACTTCAACCTTTATAGACCCTTTTCCTCTCCCATGAAACATGGAATAAGAATTCTTTTGTGTGTCCCTTTCACGTCTCTGAAGTGTCTTTATACTACACCATAGTGCAATGTAATAGAAAATGTGAGAAGAATCAAGAGATAAAAAGAAAAAAAGAAATAATAACAGCAAAAGAAAAAGGAGAGAAAAGAATAGACAAGTGACTATCGTGGGTGGGTGTATGTGTGTGAGGTGTGTGTTTGGGTGTTGTGTTGTGAAGGCAAACATCAGCAAGTGTAACGTGTAAACAGGCGAGAAAATGAGAGAAATAAAAGAAGAGGACATAAAAGAGAGGAAATTGTTTGAAAGAAAAAGAAGGATATCAGTGAGGTATGAATTGAAGACCAACGAGTGATTTCCATTCTGATTATAATGAAATTCAAAGATTTTGTTCTTAACAGCTTGAGGTTCATATTCATTGGTATCAATTGGAGTCCAGGTGTGGGGGGGCTCATAGTATGCTTTGTCCTAAATCTCTTAGCAAAAAGTATTTTTTGTGACAATCCTGAATTTATATCCCTAGTGGATACACTATGACTACATTAAAATTCCATGTATCTCCACAGAATATACTCTTCCTGACATCATACTCTGGCCACTGCTTCTCTCAAAGTAAGATATAAGGAAACATGATTGTGCGTTAAGATAGTAGACTACACCTGAGTCATTCGACATGCTAGTGAGATTGACAGAGTATGAGCCTGTGTGTATTGAGTTGTAGATGTTGAGCATGATTTACTTCTCAAATGCCATATTCCGCAGTTGCTATCCTATTAAATTCTCCTAATTTTAACTTATTGTTTATTCCTGCCACTTTGTGGAGTATCTATCCTGCTTATTGGGCTGTATAGCTTACCCCCAAAATTTACCCCACAATGCAGGTAGAATCAGAGTTAAAAGTGAGCATGGGATCAAAAATATTTAGAGAACTGCAGATTTTTAATTAATGCTATTTTTTTATATAAATAAATAGCATTTGACAATCTAAGAAGCATGAGTATTAATATGGCATATGGGTACAATATAAAGCGGGCAATATGGTGGAATATAATATATGTTATATGGATAGGGGCAAAAATCAAAATTTCATTTTGGTGCATAGTTTGGATCAACTGAGAAATGGAAATGTTTCGGCAACATCATGGAAACAGAGGAAAAAATGGTTGTTGCATGATCAAAAATATATTTTTTTATTGGACCAGAATCCTCATATTTTTGTTTTAAATGAATACTATTTTATTTACTTTATGTTCCGCCCCAACATATCCCCTGCCTATCCCAGATGTATTGTCGGCCTATCTCAAATATATTCAAAATTGAGAAATATTTTAAAAATATCCGAGATGCATCTCCATTGTGCATCCATCTCTGGCATATAAAGGAAACATACTCCGACAAATGGTGAAGATCTGGGCTTCATAGTTGGCAATAGTTGCATGACTATTAGGAGATTTGGTACAACCAGGAGGTTTTAGTCCTTTGTTCATTATGGAGTTAATTCGCGCACAGGCTCTATAAGGGTCTGGCGCATGACAATAGTCTTACTTTATTATAAGCAATATAAGCATCCTTGAAGGTAGCATAGAGAAGACTGCAATTTTCACAGAAGCAAAAAATCTTACATCAGGCTTGAGTATTCCATTGCATTTCTGGCAAGTGGGAATGTGAAAATCCTCCTCCCAAAATTTCTCATCAATCTCAATATCACCATCGGGCCTTTGCTTCATGCCAAAGCTCTTGTCTGACCTGCTGTCATAGTCCAAACTTTCAATTGCTGCTGCCCACTGCAGGAAAACATTTTGTCTAACTTCAATTGTCCATGCATAGAAAAGCCTAGAGTTTGACATTTTAAATCTTGTACATATGCAAGTGAAAAACTGGTAAAGTGTAGTGTGAAAAATCTGAAAAGTTGCTGCCCATTTTACAGCTTCTCATCCCCTGTTACAGAATTTTTTACTGCTGAATTTTCCCATTCAAAAATCTACCCATTGAAGCTTTCCAATTGCCAACAGAAATTGGTATCAGAGCAAAGATTCAAACGGAGCTGCTGCCCGTCCAAAAACTTAAAGAAATTTGGTGAGTTTTTTTCGAAAAATGCCATGGCTAGCTTGAGTAACTCCAGCTCCAGCATATGTTAGAAGCTATTTAATCTCTTATTTTTATCTTTATTGTTATGAAGGGTACTTTTGTCTTTTTGATATTTGACGTATAAATATAAGTGATAAAGGAAGAGAACCCTAACACTCTCTTCTCTTTTTTGTTCGTCTTTCTTTTCTTTCTTTCTTTCTTTGTTTCTTCTCTATTTCTCCCTTTCTCTTCACATTAATTCAACAACATCAACATGCAGCTTCATTTCCAGCCGAAAAGCGAACTGATTGCTTTCTTAGCAGCTACTTGGCTAAATAGGACTCCCTTCTAGCCTTCCTTCAAGTTGCCCTAAACGAACAAGAGCCAATCCAAATTGATATTGTAAAAGATCAGCTACAGAACGAATATGTTTATTTTTCAAATGACTCGTATCATCAAGTTTACCCATTCCAAATTCCATTCACCCTCTTGAACCAAAACGCAGTTACCCAACGAGGGAGACCATGAATGCTTGCTAGTCAAACGTTAGCGGCTAATGGACAACATGTTCTACTTTTATCATAAAAAGATATTTCGGATTTGTTAGAAAATGGGTTCTACTTTGTAGAACCCGAATATTCGATTGGTTTGACGAACACCCAAAAAAGATCAATTAAAAGAAGTAAAAAAGAAGAATGCAAAAGCTCTCCTCCTCATTCAATGAGTAGGAGACGTCATTTTTCCAAGAATCATGGGGACACTAAAGCCAAGGAAGCTTGGGATGTTATTCAACAAGACTTTCAAGAAAATACTAAGGTAAGGGATGTTAAACTTCAACTTTAATAAGAG